CGGTCTCCGCCTTCTGAAACTCCACGCACTTATTTTCGTTACTGGACTTGTCTCTGGCAGTCCTGTCAAAAAGATGGTCCAATTGATCCTTTTATATCAATCTTCGAGATAGTTTGAGCCCACATTTCTCTCATTCCGAAAAGGACCTACGCGCAAAAAACTGTTCTTCTTCCTTCGGCCTGTTGTGCGGATAATGTACACTATTTTTAATGTTTGAGTATGACCTACAGCTTTACCTCATCATAACGTTACGCTGTCCAAAATACCTTCTTCCCTTCTTGCTAAGCTTCTGTTGCAACCCATGAAAACTCCCTCTCCGCCATACGTAACGTAAGTTATGGACAGCCTCCTATGGCGCAGATATTACAATTGCAAGCTTATTTCTCAGAGAGCATGCTTTAATCTGTGCATATGAATCCTGGCGAGTACAAGTTTTTGTTTGGAGTACATATGCCTTCAGCAGTTCGTTATAATAATCCGCTAATGTAATCAGAATGATCCTTCATAATAAAAGTCTTTCAAAAAAACAGGAGGCACAAGTTAAATGGCGTTATGAAGCAAACAACGGTGATATTGCCGAAACTCAATGTCGGTTAACGAGTACCTTCCGGCACATTGACTGTCGATTATGACCATCACAAGAACTCCCAACTGATAACAGGAGCTCCGAGGCCTTTCTTAATTGCATCAAAATAAAATATTTCCAAATTACTGTTGTGTTTTGAAACTAGTTTTTCTGCAGAATTTGTAATCTGGAAAGCGGCAGCTGGCTGGGCGCAAATGTAAACAGATGAACACCTGACGTTAGTTGATTTAGCTTCCATTGTTTCATACTCATCTCGATTACAGGTATCATCCTTACTCTGGGCTCATACATTACGGCAGGGAGCCCCTCAAACTGACAACTTGTACAAGGTCAACGCTGTCAAGATATTGTGGCATGAAAGGTCGGACGCCCTAAGACAGGAGCGGGTGTGTAAGACAGACAAACTTAGGTGACTCAACAACACGTTTCCAACGTGGTGACGGCTATGACTTCAATACTCGTATTGAAGGAACAGCATCAAAAGGAACTGTCTGAAACGACTGGTGTGCAACCACAAAGACAGGTGACTCAATGTATGGGGTTAAGATGGGAATCTGAAGCCTACGGAAAACGAGTGGGAATGTGTTGAATGTCGAAAGTTGAAAGATGGAAGAGGATCACGATGAACGAGCCGTCGCTTTTATTCCAAGTTAGATATCAAAACAAAGCAGGGACATGCCAAAGCAAGGCAGCAAAATATGAGCCCCACGCTCCGGTTTAACTGTACGAAAACACTGCTGCCGGGATTGGACTGACGAATATGTGCAGTGCCCGGGTCCGCCAAGGTAAACTACACGCCATGACGCGACGCATGGGGCCACGTGCAGAACGAAGTTCATCCCCTTGAAAATATTAACGGATACTGCACAAATGACTTGACACAACGGCAACAGACACCTGGCAAGACTTGTCGCATCACATCATGATAAATCAGCCCAGAGGATTACAAGAGCTAATTATTAAGACGACAGTGACAGTACCCACCACTTTCGTCATTATTGAGACATGTGACAATGCACACCACTTTCACAGCTGGAAATGCTCACAGCTTGCATCCCGGGCCAACTCTGCGGAGCGCTGCAGAATGTTTGTGTGTGTGCACGAGGATGGCTTGAAGATGGGAGACGAACGAAAGCAATGGGCACATTGCGAGGAAGTAGACGGACACGCCCGGAACGCAGTACAGTTAATTCGAGGAGTGTATTTAACTGTAAAGAAGCTCCTCAATTGCTTTAATTTAAACCTTTATATTCGGCGTTGATTTGGGTTATTACAATAATACCGCAAGGTAAATGGAAACCAATTACTGACACACGCAAAGGCCGCAGTTACTCCTGACATGTCTCCATCACCACAGGTAACAGATCGATCTCCTTGGAAATATTATCCTTGAAACGAGGACGTTCAACTTGCACCCATCCGCTACGAGCAGCACAGTCACACGTCTGGCAGCTACGGCAACCCAGCCACGCTTCTGCCAGCCTTCTGCCAGACCCACGAGCTCAGCCACGGTGCCGCCTGTTACAGGGCAGCAAAGAAGTCCGCTTGGCTAAAAAAGACATGTATTGCATTCATGTCATAAAAATTGCCATCAGCTCTTTCGCCAGTCCCCGCATGACCAGCGATCGCTCTGAAAAGATATCGGAATAAAAAAGATCTGTACACGGTGTCTTTTCGTTTCCTATTCTCATTTGATTTCATGGTAACATTACGTACGTCGAGCGGAGGCATACGGAAGACGACTCGGCAGGTGGTAGGTACAAGCACTGGCGATATTTAGACTACTTTGGACGCGCCGCACCATAATTTGTGTAACACAAGAAGACCCGAAGGCGGATGAAATCTAGCGTCATAAGCTGACCGCGTGCCACGCCAGCCCACAGCGCCGGTGCCTCCCTCTATTGAGCTCGCCGAGTCTACAAGTTCATGTCGATGCCACCAAAGCAAACACATCGCGCTGACGCCGCCGCGAATTTTGCACACCGTCGGTGGCGGCCACGCTTCACGCGAGTCCGGGCGCGCCAAGAGCGCCGTCGCGGCTGTGCGCCAGTCCGCCAGTGGCCCTCCGACGGCGCCGTCGGCCGGCGCACAACCTCCGCACACACGGCAGGGCCGGCGAGATCGGCACGTCCCAGTGGGAGCCCGCCGCGCCGCCGGCCGCGCGGCGCGGCGGCCCCATCACTGCCGTCGCCGGTAGGTCCGTGTATCACAAATTTTCCAGGAGTAGGGATACCGCCCTGGAACGGAGGAAAACACGCTGACAGAAAAGGAGAGGTTTTAAACATTGCGGCAAGTGGCTGCGGCGGGCCCGGTCTGCAACACAATTTTATTTGGCATCTGGCCTCATAATAACAGCGCACAGCCCGGCAGCTCTGCAAGTCATTGGCAAAACTGCGTGATATGAAGTCGACACAGGGCCGCGAGTTCACGCGACGAAATCTAGATCCATACCACCCACCTTTAAAGAGACGAATGCCTGCTAGTTTAATGGATGACAACGACCATACCATTTGGTGTATCATGATGTCTAGCATTCCTCTTGACTTCTCCTTACGCACCGCGACACTTTCTTCTTGAAGTTCGGGAAATCCTCTCGCCATTCCTTCTGCAAACAAAAACGGGATGGTTCATAAATTAAGCTAGGAAAATGTTACTTACAAAGACAAGGTTGTATCATTGGTGATCAAAGAAGACATTTATTTCCTTGGACGATACGCTGGTCTCCGGAAATAGTAACGTTCAAACACAGGGCCAACCTAACTTCGAACAGCAACACTTTTCGTGCATCACCATATAGTTATGCTGTCGTTTATTGGTGTTTTCGGGCGCGTCGACTGCAATGGTCATTTTGCGCCCATTACCATATGGTTAACATTTAACTTTCATACAGGGTGGAGAGGGCCTAAGTCTCCTCCCCACCGTTTCCGCGGCCACGGTTTGTCACAAGTTAGCGCAAGCTCGACACAACGCACACCACTGAGAAACACCACAAACGCACACCGCGCCAGTTCTGTTCTGGCTGCCATCACGGGCTATCGTTCATGGTGGCTAGTACGTGTCCAACGCCGAACGGCTCTGGTCTTTACGTAGCCACTGGACGGCATCCCTCTCCCATGCCGCTTGGAGCTCTCCTCCGTCTGGATGCTTGCATCGACCGCCAGCATGCATTTGAAATCCTCCTTGTGCTGCAATGCATTCAGTATCATAGCTTCATCCTCCTGCTAATATTGTACTCTCCGCGCCTTCTCAGGTGGTCACGTCAGGTGAGGTCGTTATTCTTCTTCAGAAGAGGTTACCGGCAACAAACCTCTTCTGTTTGCCAGGATGTCCTTTAGGTTTGCCCGGATGAGTAATGCCTTGCTTTCTGTATTCCACTGGAAGCTCAGTGTTCTCAGCGCAAAACAACAGGTATCGAAATAGCCCAGGTGCTCAGGTTCCAGGAGTGAACATTTCTTTCTACAGCAATCGCCTGAATGATCCTGACGCTGTTAGACACCAACCCTGGCCTTGGTCTGACTGGCGTTGGTCTGACGCCAACGCCGGCAGTCACTCACTGGGTACGCACATGCAACACTAAGGAATGAGTCGCACGAAGCAGCGCTTGCTCTAATGTTGTGGCTACCACGTGCTTTTTGAAACGAGGTTGTCTCTTAAGGTAGGTGTCTGGCCGACGGTAGCAGTCAGCTTTTGAACAAGCACACTAAAATCTGCTGCATGCAAACCCGGGCCATGTTCTTGTCCTCGCCGCTTGATAAACGTGCAGCGCGTTCAACGGCAACAAGCGGAACCTGGCTCGTCTGAGTTCGCGACCCAGCAGCGCCCTGCTTCAGGCGCGCAAGTGTGTCAGCCAATAGGTGTTTATACTCGACGGCTCCACAGCCGGCCTCGTCGAGGTCGCACGAGGAGACATGACGCCTGTCCGCAAACGCCCAGACACACAAAGACAGCCGGAGGCCAGTGCGTAACATGACGCAGCAGCGCCTCGGCGACGTCCATTGTTTGCTGCGCCACCGCTTCAGTCAGTCAGGCGATTCATCGGCCCTCGCTGCGGGGCGACCATCGGTCAACAGAGGGGTGGGTGGGCCGGTGGGGACAGCCGTGCAAGCATTAAGCGTCGGGCGTGGAGTCGCGTGGGCCACAGGCACCTATGAATCACGACCGGCGTCGGCGCTCCGACCCCGGCCGTGCCGTTTAGCACTCCTAAAGAGGCGCATCGAGTCGGGCCGCCTATCGACGATCTGACGGCGATGAGGGACCTGCTCTGGGACGACCTGCTGGCACCCCGGCACGCTTCCACGGCCGGAATGCGAGCGCTCTCCCTCCCGGCTTGGCGATTTCGAGTCGCCCCTGGCGCCAGGTAACAGTGTCCGACCACACCCGGCTTTGGGTGTCGGTCACGGTCAGCCCCGCCCGCCGTCGTTCCCGTGACGTCACACCGGGAGTCCTGACGTGCGACGAACCGTCCGGCGTCGCCTGTCCAGTGACGTCCCAGTCGGTGGCCGGGGGCGAGGGGGACAAGTCCCGCAGCGGCCGCCGCCCGGACGTGGTGGTCGGGCTTCCCTGGGACAGCCCGGAAGGGCGCCGGTGGAGCCCGTGCTCATGCTCCGGGGGTGGCCAGTGTTCGTGAGATGGTGATGCCGCGCTCACCGTTCCCGGGGGAGGAACCCCTGGCGACGCCACGGCTCACTCCGATTGCGCACACAGCAGGTGAGGGAGCAGTTGCGGCGCGCGCTGTTGTCGACAACATGTCTTCGAGACCGTGATAAGCCTGCGTTCGGCGAAGTTCATGAAGGAAAATGTGTATCGTCCCTGCAACGCAGCCAAAATGAGCATAGGTGCAGGATAGTTGGGAATTCCAGGAAACCAATGGCACGGAGGGCAGTCCGGTCTCTCACTCCCTCTTCGGACAGCTTATCTCCACGGCTGATGGCCCATTGACGGCATGCCATTGGGGTCCAACATGTCGAGATTCTCAAGGCCCGTTTCCCCACATGCACCCACGAGGACATCCCTCCAAAGCTTAAGTTTTACGGAGAACGATTGAGACGAGGCTTTCGTAGCATGGATAGTTGTTCCAACTATCGTGCTCGTCCAGTCAGCTGCTATGTACACATCGTTTTGGCCCGTTCATTCTCAGGCCGTCGTCAGGTCCTGGAAAGGAGTGAGTAGCGCTGAGGTTTCATGCATGTACGCGTCGCAAGCCCAATTTTCTCCTTGCGTTTGCTGGGATTCGAGCCAGGGTCTTCATGTTACGATTCCAGCATTGAGCTAACCGGCAAAGGAAATCTCTCGGTGCTGGAATATCCTTAAATCAACCTCGTGGAAGGATTAGGAGGCATATAAGGCTGACTGTCCGTGTTCTTGCTGCCTCCCTGATTTCATAGCTTTGCAGCATTGCTCTCTATCCATTATGGCGTCTCATCCCATGCTGGTTGGTGGTTGCCTTCCGATCCTGCATACTTTGCCACGCCAGACCTCAGCGTTTCATTCCGAATGGTTGCCTTTCCGTGTTTTTCCTGTTGACCGACAGCGAGCGACTTGTTTCCAAACAGCTGAACGCCATGTCGCACATGCAGCCCTTAGTAAAATCCCAAGATGTCGGTAGGCTGATTTGGTAAGTGCTGTCTGGAGCGTTTAGCAACTTCTGAAGACTGTCCTGATGTTACATCGTCTAGAACTTCTCCTGATTTCATCTGACAAGCCTTCGTAAACACATGGTACCGTTGCTTTTTTATTTTTGCTGCCCTCCTTCAGCAAGTTCAGCAAGTTTTTGGGCTCCTGGTCTATAAAGCAGCAGGGGGACCTGTCCCTGAAGAACGTCTGGGTTAGGTGGTATAATCAAATCTTCCCAACTGCGCCATCAAAGCTAATGATATTTGTACAATGAAGGTATTCCACGACACCTCTTCGCAAAGTGTTCGGCTGGTTTGACTAGCTACAAGCTATGACAGCATGTCCGCCGACTAGGTCAGGGCACATGGGCTCCCAGGTCCGGGGATCGCCGGCGGCCAGAGCAGCATCGCAGGTCAAGATCAGCGCGGGCTGCTCTTGACCGTGCAGCCGGACGACCGCTTGTAAGACCACGGCTACCTCCTATCAGACTACCGCCAGACCTGCCGCCGAGACGCTCGGCGACCTTGTGTTCCGCTGGTCTGGATCGACCCTCAGTCGAGGCGCAGCTACTGGCGGCGTCCGCTGACGCAGCGCCACTCGCGGATACGCGCACCAAAGTTCCTTCCAGGAGCCTCCGAGGAGCCGCGTTCGGACGGACCTTCCTGTCGACGACGCTGCCGATTACGTGCGTATTTGCTGCGCGGTGTCTTGGGTCATTAACAAGGTAACCCGTGCTGCAGACGCCGCCATGCCGACGCTGACGCCGCTGACATCGCCGACACCGCTGACGCCGTTGGCGGCCGACCTATCGGAGGACGAAGACGTGCTGCAGGCACTGCCACATGGTCAGCTATCCAGCCAGCTCCTGTCGCGCCAGATGGACCAGATTGTGCGCCGCTCCGTCAGCCGCAAGGACGAAATCAAGCGTGAAACGCCAGCGGCCGGCACCAGTCAGCAGCAGCGCCTCTTCAACGCCTGCCTCACGGGCGACACGCAGCTGGCGACCGCCGCACTCGACGCCGGCGCCGACCCCAACGCCGACATGCGCGCCGTGTCCAAGACATCACGGAAGCGAACGCGCCTGGACGGCGACAGTAGACAGCCGCACGCGCGCCTGCGCTCGCCACGAGGTCAGCAGACATTGCCCAGCCTGCTGCGGCCCAATATCCTGCTTCACCTGGTGGCATCGCTGGGCGACTACGACATGCTCGACCTGCTGCTGCAGCGCGACGCCGACCCAGCTATGTCCGACGCAGTCGGCGACACGGCGCTTCATGTGGTTAGTCGTGTGCACCACCCAATCGACGTGACCATCGAGCTCGTGCGGCTGCTGCGCGAGGCCGACGCGCCGCTGGAGGCGACGAACATGGCTGGCCTGACGCCGCTGCATCAGGCGGCCGCTGCCGGCAATACGGCCGCTCTACTCACCCTGGCCGAACTGGGTGCCCGCTGCGCCTGCCAGAACGCACGCGGCAACACGCTGCTGCACGCAGCCGTCGCTTCGGGCTGCGCCAGCACCGTGTCGGCGGCGCTCGACCGGCTGCCGGCCGCGGCGCTGCACCAACCTAACAAGGCCGGTCGCACGCCGTTGCAGCTGGCCACGAACCGCGAGATTGTGCGACTGCTGTTGGTGGCCGGGGCGCGTGGAGACGAGCCCACCACACTGACGCTGCTGCAGAACGTGCCTTCGGCCGTACCAGACGTGCTCGAGCACTACATGACCACCAACAATCGGCCGCTGGACAGCTCCGAGCTCGAGGTGTACTTGGACTACATGCCGTTCTGGGACGCCGCGCGCCAACAGCCGGCGCCCGAGACAGGCGTACTCCGAGCCATCGTCGACGCCGACCAGGACGAACTGCTCAAACACCCTCTGGTCGAGACGTTCCTGCACATCAAGTGGTTGCAGGTCCGTCGCTTCTTCATCTTCAGCTTCGCGTTCTACGTGTGCTTCGCGCTGCTAGTGACGGGCTACGGAATGATGTGTGTTATGCAACCGCACGCGGCAGCGACGAAGGTGCTGGCCTGCATCTCCGGTACCCTCACCATCGCCGCCACCATCCGCGAGATATTCCAGCTGCTGTACAGCTGGCGGCTGTACGTAGGCAGCGTTGAGAACTGGCTGGAGGTGGTGATCATTGCGCTCAACTCGGCACTGCTCATCGGCCGTAACTCTTACGGCGGTTGGGTCCACCATGTCGTCGCCTGGCTCATTCTGACCGCCTGGATGGAGCTGACACTTATGGTGGGCCGCTTCCCCAGCATCGGCATATACATACATATGTTTATCCGCGTCGCTCAGAACCTGGTCGGCTTTCTTCTCGTCTACTCGCCGCTACTGGTGGCGTTCGCACTCAGTTTCCAGGTGCTGTTTGGCGACAAAGCCGCTTTCCAAACCATCCCAGTGGCGCTCATCAAGACGTTCGTCATGATGATGGGGGAGTACGAATATGACGGCATGTTCACCAGCAACAACGCGCTTCTCTACCCTGGTACGGCTCACCTCATCCTTATCCTGTTCATCGTCAGCATGTCGATCATCACCGTCAACCTGCTGATCGGTCTCACTGTCAACGACATCCAGGGCCTGTTCAAGACGGCCGGCGTACAACGACTACGCATGACTGTCATCCAGATCCTCTTCATCGAGTCGGTCATCTACTCCAAAGTCCTGCATACGGTGCTTCGCTCGCGCATCTGTCGGCGCATGCAGGCCAAAGTAACGCTGCTGCCGAAGCTGCTGTTGCGCCAGGTGGACAAGCGCCTGTCGGGCCAGCCGGCAGCGGACACCACCTGCACGCCGGCAGACAAGACCGAGAACGGTAACGGCAACGGCGAAGCCGACGACGGCGAGCGTATCCTGCGCGCCACCTTCCGCCCCAACGCCAAGGGTCGCGCGCGGCTGTACCGAACGACCGAGACGGGCGAACTGCGCCCGTCTCGATACACCATGCACGACTGGATGCAGCGCAACATGCTGGCGCTGTTGCGCGGCCGCGCGGCCGACGCCGACCGCGAGACCCGCGAACAGCTGCTGCAGGCCGAGATACTGGCGTCTGTGCGCGCCAAGACCGGCGAGCTCGGCCCGCTCTACGAGGTGCCTGAGGCGGAGCTAGGGCCGGACAGCGCGCCCGCCTCCGACCGCCAGACATCAGCCGTCCGTGACGTCAACGGAGACCGGGACGAGCAGACTGAGCCAGAGGGCGCCGGTCGCAGCAGGAGCGGCGGTCGCATTCGCCGCAAGAACGCTCTGGCCAGCCGCGACTCGCTGGAGGAGCTCGGCCAGAAGCTGGACACGGTGCTGGCCACCGTGGCCGAGGTGTCGCTCAAGATGGGTATCATCGAGCGTCGCCTCAACCTGACCAGCCCGCCGCGGCTCGACACATTTTACTCGGTTTGAGCGCTGCTGGCTGTCTCGCCCCCCCCCCCCCCTTCCCCGAGCTCCGACCCAGCCCGGGGTCACAGAGAACCAGGCTGGGACGGCAGCTGCACGGCAGAGCTGCACCATTAGCCAGTTCCTCAGGCGAGGGACGGCAGGCCGAACGAAGTGAGCGAGATCAGCACCCAGGACTGAGCGTGATAGACGCCATGAACATGGTGTAGTTTCATGAAGAAGAGGCCATATCGAGCGTGAAATGCGTACATTGATGTGTGGTGTTGTGCTGCTTCCGTGTGCCGAGCCGCTCAGTTAAGAGGTTTTTGTGCCCTTGACGACGGAGGTGGTTTCGAACCAGTACCCGTTTCATAGCCGCCCGGTTCACCATACGATGCATGACTCAAACGCATGGCTCAAAACGCGTTGTGTAAGAGAGAAAGTTGCATTAAGTAGGTATGACACGTCTCAGTAAGATATGTATCAGTAAGCTGTTCAAAACACTACGCACCATAGCGTGATCGAATACTATGCTGGTGCAACGGCTGAAAGATGGCTCAACAATGCTGGTTTTTCCCTGCATATTGGTCGGGATGAGAAATCATTGCGATACGCGGCAATACGTCCGTACAGCTGTGGTACAACGAAGGCTACAGCTGATGTACGGCACTCGCAACATGCCTTTATTACGCAAAACACCGATCCGAAGTTGCTTTACAATCGCGCCGGTTAAATGCGATACGTTCGAGCAACGCATAGACGGACCAATGTGTGCAGGCGATGTTGAATGACACAGCTGCTGTGTGTCCAATGATAAACTATTTCATCCTAACGGGTCCATACGTTCAAAGGGAGCCCTTCGCGACCGTAGCGTGGCAGACAGCCGCTTCAGCCGCCGTCGGGGCAGCTGCGGTGGGCCGTCGCCGCCGCGCCACACCGCACGTCCGCCGTTCGTGGCCGGGCGACGTGGTCCCCTCGTGACGCGGACAGGCCCGCCGCGCGGCCTTGGAGCAGCGCGATGAATAACTCGGGCTGGGCCGTTATCGGCCTGGCCGGCAGCGCGGTAACGAAGCAACGACACAACAGCGACGGCGGCGGCGCTGCTCGCCCGCTAGGCTGGGCCGGGCAGACGGAGGCGCCCGCCCACTGTACGCCGCCGCGGGACAGGGGCCACGGGCGGCACAGGCGGGAGGGGCCCACCGGCAAACGTCTGGGGACGTGGCCAGCCGTGACCAGCGACGCTGAAGGCCTCAGAACTGTACTGACAAACCGCGAGAGATCAAAGCTCCATTTTCGATGGGCCTCTGTGCAGCGGGACACCGATCGCACCTGAGCAAACTATTAAGATACTATTACAATAGTATGCATTATATATACTACTCAACATACCAACTTCTGATACGGAGACATTTACAAAATTTAACAGGGTGTCCTGAAATTGATCAACCTCTAGCTGGTACTTATTCACCTTTCTCGCAGTATCACAAGGCCTAGGAAACTTTGGCAGGACCCCGCCCCCGGGCAATATCACGCATCCGTTAGTTCAGTGACCCTGCCGGATGACATGACCCGGGCCACGATGGGGGCGACGGAGACCACTTCCACGAGGTACCCCGAGCGTGCAAGCCCAGTGTCAGCCGTGGCCAAAGCGCGCCTGTTGTCGACCTGCTGCCGCGCGGCTGGTGTATCGGGCGGCGATATGACCTAAGGTTTGGTCGCCGACAACCTGTTGTTAGCGTAACATTAGTAACACCGAATGTTGGGTTTTTCGCGGCCGTAAGGAACAGCTCTTGGAAAAAAGTACCGGTCCCGGGAGAAGGAGTTCGGTGAACATGGTAACCCACATCATTATCGCAAAGTCCCCCTAAAAATTGGTCATTTTACAAGAAAACCGTCCCACAGGCTGATGACAAAGCAGGACCAGGTGTCGAAGTTGGTGGTGCAGGTATTTGAAAACGTGTCTACACCTGAAGCCACTCAAACCGCACCGGCAGCCAAAATCCAGGGGCCAGCAATCCCCAAAAACCTACAGAACGCGCTTTGTCGTTGAAAACCGCAAGCATACACAGAGTGCCTATCAAATAAAAGTTGCTACCCGAATACAGTCGCGCAAAAAAAAACGTCAAACTTGTGTGAGGGGTGCGAGGAAGTTAAAGGACATTGCAAGCATCTTATCTTGCAGCCGGCCTGTGACATTTCCTTCGAAGTTGGCACATCCAATCACCGACCGATGCCCCTCAGACTGGATGAAGAAACCCTAAGGGCCTTTCAAAAATGGGAAATCCAAATGCACTCAAAAACCTACATGACGATGTGGGTGTGCGGTTTTTTTTACCTATTAGACTAAAACCAGCCTGAACCTGATGGCCAATGGCATTCTTTTGGCACACTGGTGGGTATCGATCGATGGTCCGATGTGCTCATCGGTTAGAAAAAAATGGGCCCAATCAGCCCCATTGTTAGAAGTACCGTGAGCCTAACTTTACAGGCATTGAGCATGTCAAAAACCTTTTTGGAAAAAATGTCGGTTTTTTCCCATGTGAAAAATAACTCTCCTTCGGACCCTTCCTTAGCGTTGCAATAGTTGGATAGCTTATTTTGGAATGCTACTTTTTAACGGATTACGAAGGACATAATGTGCGTCACTTTTTGGTGTGTGCAATCCCTCTAAACTGAACCAAACTTCCCGAAGTGGAAATAATTGTCATAGAGTTGGCGGCAAATACGGCGAAACGGTGGATCCCACCCAAAGTAACGACACCCTCCAGCTAGCTAAATGCTCCCAAGCCTGGATATATTCAGCCCTGGCGCAGATGAGGCTTAACGTGCTCAGAACGTAGCAAAACCTTTGTCCAGACTTATGATCCGTCCATAATGTTGCCAATTACTCCGCATGACTACCACGGACCGAGCTCCCAGCCGAGCGTGCTTAGCGGAGCAGCAGGGAAAACTTGATAATAAAAACTCCTTATAAACTTCTGATGACATTCTTAGTATGATATTATATATATATACTTACATAATACAACATGACATATGAATATTCTTAATATGATATGAAATTCTAATGATATTCTTAATATGACATGAAATTCTAATGATATTCTTAATAATGATATTCTCAATAATGATATTCTTCTACTGATAATAGCCTAATCCAGTACGCAACCAAGGCAGAACAAAAAGCGATTTGGTGAAGATTCTGGCATTATTATCTTGATTTAAAGTGCTCCGACGGAAAATAATTAAGGCGCTGTGTATGACACAGTAACCTAAAGCAGGAGTCGGCAAGGGCCACTTTAATGCCACCAACTGCCATTGGAGTAAGTGATTTACTCTCTGTCAGATGTGCGACCGACAGGCCGCATCATCGCATACTCTGGTACATCTTGTGCTTCTGCTTAACAAAACCGGCCAAGCCCGAGCGAGAGCCAAACGGAATTTTTGAAGCTCTTGCGGTTCAAACCATCTGGAACGGATCCAGTATTGACGCCGACAGTACAGAAATGATCCATGGTCCTGTTGCGCTTTGTCCGCACATGCATGACCGTGTGATGCACTGTCCCAGCTGACTATGTGAGCTTCGGCCAGACAGTGCCCGCTAAGTCCGGTAAGGTAAGCACTTCTCCGGCATGAAAGCGCGACTTCAGAGCCATCCACATATCCAGTCAGTAAGAGGCGGGGTAGCGACGAGGCTAATCGTGGTTTATCCCCGGAGCTGGAGCTTGCCCCCTCCGATATGGGGTTGACGGGGTTTGAGCGGAAGCTTATGCGAGATACACCCCGGGCGGCGGAAATGCCGACTCCTGGAACACTCGCAGCATATTCCAATGGGTTGGCAGGATAGCACGGAGAGCGAGGGTGGATGAAGCTGTGCTACCGCCCAGGCGAAATCCATGGTCCCATCAGGGAAAGTGTTAGCCCCAGAACGCGCGCCGGCTTTTCGAGGCTCTGCGGACTCTGGTGACCGGCCAGAAGCGGCTCGAACCTCGCAAAGCCCGGGGAGATCTGCCGACCCCGTCCCCAGGACCGTGCGACAGCGGCGCCGCCACGCCGAGCGGCAGCAAACTTCGCATTGTCGTCCCGTCCACCAGAGGGACCACAGGCGGGCCGGTGCACGGCCAGCGCCGCTGCGGGACCGGACAAGGCCGCCCGAAGCCCGACTCACCGCCGCGTCCACGTTGGCCGGACTCTCGTCGTTGGGGTCGGCCAGCATGGAGATGACCGAGATGAGGATCGTCTCCACCGTGTGCACGGGCAGCCACCGCTCCGACGCCTGCTCGTAGCCGTACTTATCGTCGCCGGGCTCGTGCAGGATAGAGATGCACACGTCACCGTTCTTCTCGACTGGCGACAACCGGGCCTGAGTCAGGTCACCACTCCATGGTGGGAGGCACATGGCGCAGCCACTATCCCTGCATGGATAGTTAGGCACTAAACACAGATGGCTATGACTGTGCCTGCTGACCCTTGGGGTGTTTTTTTCTCACGTCGCCACTAAATAAAAACCGTCAGGTTTTTAGTTAAAATGGAAGTCTCCTGCAGTACGGGAAATGTGCGATTTTACTTCAAAATGCAAAAAATAAAAGGATTTGCCAATATCTGGCAGCTGTTGGCTCAAAACATTCAAATGCCAACAGTTTTATGAGCATGATTGAAAAAAACAGCCATAAACTGGCCATAAAACAAACATTCAAAGGAAGGTGGATTGACAGCATGGTTACATCTAACTACACTTTTCCATTGTGGGCAAATTTGCAACATATTATATTTATTCCATTTTCTAAGACACTTACTGTTTGGATGCCATACATCAGTGATGAACCTCATTTTTGGTGGTCGATGAGGATACTCCTTTGGAAAGTACAGGTGAGCCTTGAAAAACCCTCCTTCACTGCAAGAGACATTGCTTTTTAGTGACATTACAAAGACAATTTTCATTTGTTATGCAAAGCTACATTCAACTTTCACAAAAAAACATTTAAGCCTACAGTTGTCCAAATTTCTTTACTAAGTGTGACAGCCCCTGGATTAAAGCTGACACCAACTGCTCTCTCAATCTAACAGTAGCATCAATAATTCCAGCAAAAATCAAAAACCTTGGTCGATCCCCCTGCAGTATTACTAATCTGACATCTGTCATGTGGCTGATGACATCATAACAGGTCAAGTAACATCCCACCAAGATAGTCAGGTAAGGAATATGACAGCTTTTCAGGGACTTTCAAAGGCCTCTTTCACTTAACACACATCTTATACAGCTTTATCAATGACAACCACCTAAAATAGTTTATTATCTCTCTTTATAATACTGCAATATAGAGAAGTCAAGGGTCAAAGTCAGGGCATGCCATGGCAGTCATGTCAAAGTTGAGGCACCTCACTCATACTTTTCTGCTCTTTGAGCCCACAGATCTTCAACAACAGCAAAATAAGACAGAAAGTGGAGCACTGCTGCCTGTTAAAGCAATTTGGTCCAATCCCTCACTGGTGGTAACATCATGGCCTGACCTAAGCCAGCATCAACAGTTTGCTCCCTCCCAAATGCATCACACTGATTTCCTGAATGTTGCTGAAAATATTGTACACTACCTATCACAATTTAAAAGATACACAGAATTGCGGAGAGATTACCTCCAGGTATTTATAGGCTGACTGATGTTACAAGGATATTCCATCAAATATGATGAACATAGCTGTTGCTGGTAATCAGACTTATTTACAAAAAAAATGTAAATGAGAATGCATATCAGGCACTGCTATGAACTCTACAAGCTCTACCTGAAAACTTGTCAGGCCATGCATCCACCTAACAATTATGCAGAATACTTACTAGAGGGTATCTGGTGGGCCTATGATGAGCACCTCCCACTTGAAGATATCATCATCGTCAATGAGGCCGGCAGAGAACCCATCCACAGGGTTCTTGTTTAGCTCTGAAATACATTTCAACAGACATAGCTATGTGTAACATTAACAGCCTCTATAATATTTCAAGGAGGCAAATGCATCATGCTAGCAAAGAGCTTGCTTGTGAGGCATGGTAGCAAAGGGCATTCCATGAAACATGAGTCACAACAAGCCTGTTTCAGTTCTAGCTCTGTTCACCAAGCACTCATGCAGTACCATGTAATATCCAAATGCTAATTTCTCTGTAAAAATATCATTTGCATAGGTCAACATCTACCCATCACACTTCAACTTCACAAGCAATGCCACAGTCACATTCGATGAAACCCCATCTAAATCAAATGTGTTTTGAGTCATGTCATTTGCAGGGTCTTTATGTACCAAAGGCAAACTGTCTGCAGTGAAGCTGACTGAAATCTCCCATAGTATTTCCCTACCAAGGACCAGGTCAATCAATGGCTAATCAGCAAGACCACCTCATGAGCCCTCCAAAGGTAAGACTGATGTTATAATTTTGTAATAACATGACCAAAATAACACAATATTTTTGCAGCTGCACACACTTTACTTGCAGCCTAAAATTGTGCACATGAACCATGTTTATTGCAAAATTCCTGAGTTACACACAAGCAATATCTAAATACCTATATGACTTCCAGCAAGTAATCATTGGCTGTAATTCACAGGCATAATGCAATTCTTAAGGGACAGGCTTAGATTTGGACACCGCGTGATTATGTTCTCATACAGCACAAGACAATGGCCACAACTTAAATCGTGTGAGTAGGTCACATGCTAGCTGCCCTAATCTCACGTGTCTTCCCTGGTTGATGAACAAAGGCTCGATAGAGCGACGTATGCCACGCATCATTGCACAGAGCGCCTTTACTTCGTTAATCACGGACACAAAGGCGAATCCAACTCCAACTTACCGGCCAACTGTTTACGTAGGAGTAGCGAAGATTGCGTGTCTGACATTTATATCAGTCAAATAGAAGAGCACAAAACACCCCCCGACGTGATCCCCCAGCTCAGCTCCTTGATGAGCGCCCGAGGTGGCTTGACCCGCAATGCGCATGCGCAGATATCAGCTGGGCTCAATTGGAGTGCACTACTAAATTACGACAATAATGCACGTTTCGGCAAGAGCTCTTGATGATAATGTATCGGGAGTAGTAGCATGTTTTCATAATGCCACCTTGGATATGTGAAAGCCAACGCTGACTCGTGAGGCAAGGTAAAAAAAGATGCTGATTTTAAAAAATGCAGGACTTCGTTAAGGGGCGTAGATTTATAAAATGTGATGGGTGGGAGGCGGGGTAGCAACAATGACGCAACCCACTCAAAAACGCGGCCAAAAACTGGTTTCTCCCAGCTATGACCTACTTTCCTCTCATATTAAGGGAAGTCCCCCCCCCCCCTCCATTCCTCCTCACTTAAATAGTAACCACACAGCTCTGATCTCGTGTCCAGCCCACGGAGTATTCTGAAACTCCTCTTGGCCAGATGCTTAAATTTCTTGCAGATCACACAAATGAGCCCTTTTCGTCGGGCTTCGACCATCGTGGGTAGGAGGCATGGAACAGTTGCTCCCCTCCCCTGAATCCGCCAATGCACACTTTCAAGAAAACAAAACCTGGTCCTGGTCCCCTACTGGTCCTGCCGCTACCGTCCTTGTCCCCCACCCAGAGGCTCGGTTGTGCTCCTGTGGCCCAGGCGACTAGAGGATTCTTGTCACCGTGAGATGGAGACGTCGCGGGATGGGGTTCACTGGAAACCTTCACGCGTGCCTCCCACGCGGCTGCGACTTGAATATAACGTGGGTAGAAACGCGCCTACCTTAAGCTAGCGCTTATCGATACCAGGCGAAACGAAGCGTTCAGTGCGAGATCGAACTCACGATACTGGCTTCTATCAATGGCGAAGATTTACTGGTAGCAGCCGGCTGTCATCGGTTTGGGGCATTGGGGCACTATGGGGCACCATGCATCCGGGGTTTTCACACACACGATTTGATTGTGAGATCACGTAGATGCAAAACGTGATCTTCGATCTTACGGAGATTTCACCCAGCGAGCAATCGTTTCCTGTTCCGAGATGCAGAATGTTGTGGCGCACTTTGCTTATTAATTCGCTGTAATTCTGTTCGGCAAGTTTTCCATTACGGTGTGTCTGCGGAGTCTTGGCCCAAAACAAGCAGGAAGAGACGCATCCCTTACAATATCCTTATGGCAGTACTTGGTGGTCTCCTTGTGGCAGTACCTGGTGGTGTCATGGCACGGTTTCAGCCCATTGCGTGACGGTCGTAGGCAAGGCGCAGACGTCGCATGATTTGAGGTGTTAGGTATTTTCTGGGGTGCAAAACTACTTCTGGAGATCACAACTTTTACTCATGCTATGAAAAATAGCTTCTCTGTTGAGCCAATTACAGAGCTTTAAGCTCGACGACATGCTCACGATCCTACAATTCGTTACAAGTGTCAACGAAGATCAACATATTAACTCACCCGGAATAATCAATCGATCGTAGTTTATGTGTATTTTACGGCGTAAGTCGCAGAAACGATCTCGTGAAGCGGGCTGAAATAGAACCACTCAACTGTAGGTGCATGCCCAATCTATTTCCGGTGCACAACACTTGTGCGCAGAAACAGGCTGCGTTGCATTACCATAACAAGAGCATTCCACCGAGCAGACCCGGGCACAGCGGACAGGCAGTTTCATAGCAGCGTTATTCAGACCCGTGGCCCGTCCCAGAAGCGCGCCATCACAGCTTGCTGTCCTCAGTGAAGGCTACACCTTCTTCACGATCTGCACCACGTCCTCGTCGCAGAGAACATGTTCCTTGCCCACCTTCTGCGGCTGGTGCTTGACCGACTCGCCCCACACTAGCGCGCTGGAACACGTGGCTCGCCGTCAGTTGGGGGCTGGTAGGCAAGACGGCGCATATGGCACTGTATGACACGAAAATACGCCCTTCGCGACATAGCTTGGTGCCGCGACGGACACCATAGCAATGAAGCAATCCAGTATATGAAAGCATGCAGCGCACTTAGTTGCTCTGCTGGTGGAATGGTGGCGTACAATGATGGATGAGAGTAGCTGTGCAGCTTGCCATTTGGCCTTATACCTTGACTGTGATCTACATCACACTCAGATGTGAACCACAATGTTCATTGCAGTGAACTCACTATTTGAATTCCTTGATGATGGTGCGATGGATTTTGTTGCAGAAGTCCTCTACCGCGTGCTTGGACCGGGGTAACACCACAGGAGTCTCATAGTCCGGAAGCTGGCCTTTAGGTTTGGTGTAGCTGTAACATGACAGAGATGTCTCCTCTGCATTACATGTGGTGATCACAAGATACCTGGCAAGATTAACATGAAGACATCCCTAAATTAAAGAAACGCGCGCAATGCGTGTCATTTTGTATATGTACACGAGACCCCTACAAAATCAAATTAAAGAAACATTGACCTAACCAAGAACCATGTTAATCCCGCTCCAAGTCTAGTATAATGGATCGGACGCGAATTAGTTATAGGACGTTCATGGCTAATACCTAACAGTAATGAAACAGACTCGGTCTAGACTTCACCCATAAAAAGGAATTATTTGTTAAAGAAACGTACATCTGGCGTGTATGAGGTTTTGAGTTAGCCAAATCAACTGCAATGTACATCATTCCGATTTAAAGCAAGAAAGGTCGAAACAATGTGCGCGACTGTCCCAACTGAAGCTTATCGCTATTTTCTGCCGATGCAAAAATACATACACAACAAATTCGCATCCAGAGTAAAATGTCAGCACAACGTTGATGATTGAAACGCTGACCTCTCATCTCGCGCAGAACGGCAGAGCGCTAAAGCTCGCACAAACCGTACCACACTTACAGTCTGAGCAGCTGCAGGTAGTCCCACATCTTCTCCAGCAGGTCATCAAAGTTCCACTTGTGATGTGCCGAGATCGGTACACAGTGCGGAATCTTATAGATGATGTCCAGCTCCTCTATACTGATCTGATCTGAAGACACAGACGACTGATGTAGCTGAGCGGAGCCATCTCGCCTGCAAGACGAGTTTTCCTCCCTCTGGCAATGCCTCCCAGCAACGACAGTTAGAATAGCCATTTAGGGGGTTACATTACAGCCGCCATTGGTTGCATCGCTGACCAGCTACCCCCCCCCCCTCCCCCTTTGGTGGTAGCGGCAGAAGCGAAACCTGCCAACACAATGTTGGGACCGCTAATGTCCTTTTGTGTCAATTCTCCCTGTGCAACCTAACATAACTAGCGCGAGTTTTCTGAGACGCTGGGGACGCAGCTGCATCCGAAATTCCCAAGAAACATTTAAGTTACACTAAGGAGCAGCAATGAACTGCGTTAGATTGGTCTGGACAACCAAGCCGTCAGCTTGACCCCCCACATCGGGTCACATCATGACCACATCCCGACATATCCGACTGCATACAAACAGCCCGACCCCTGCCGCACAGCTTTTTCTGCCCCACTTCCGTCGGCGCGGGCGACGCTCTCCGCCTGTCCACGCGCCGACCGATTAGTGTCACCAGCACAGACCAACCACAGTACCGCAGGACGAGAACATGTGCGCCTCACGCCTCAGACGCGCCCCACAAACAGATCCCAATCAGTCAGCGGCCCAAGCTCCACGCAACGCGATCCAAAGCCGCAGTCCGCGCGAAGAGAGGCCGCAACTCGCTCACACCACGGACATAGCTCACACGGTCCGAGGTCCAGGTCGTGCGATCAGTCCGCACGAACAGGCTGCGCAGCATGCCCAAACCGTCACACCGACAGAGCCCACGGCACCGACAGCCGGGTATCAGCCGGCCCGTGACAAGCCGGCGCGCAGCCAGCGTCCGGCCGGCGCTCCGTACCGATCTTGTTGAGCAGGTAGATGCAGGGCACGTAGATGCGGTTGCCCTCGACCACGTCGATCAGGTCGTCGGAGGTGGCGTCGCAGCGCAGCGTTATGTCGGCGTTGTGGATCTTGTACTCGTTCAGGATGGTCTTCACCGAGTCCAGATCGAGCTCCGACTGAGGTACCTGCGCGGCCGGCGCCGGACGTGATCGTGACGTCACACGACCGCCGGCACACCGGTAATTACATGCAGTGTAGCTAGGATCGAGGGGAAGTGCTAAACTTCAAACCGTACGTCGGAGGTTGCAATCCGCACCGCTGCGAAAAGCACGTGAAATGGGATGCATTAAACTGAAGCTTGCAGCGCTGTCCATGCCTCGAGGCATACGTTGGTTCACAGACCAGTGCGCTGGTGCAAAATGGGGTGCGGGGAAATCCTGTCACCCGAATAAGATCGGACGTTAAATGGACAACAATATCCCATCATGGCAAGGCCACAGGGCGTGTGATTTTTTTCGGACAAAAACTGCCATTTTTCCGAACAAACGTTTTTACCTGCATCATCTGTACCACCTGCACCGCCCCCTCCCCTCCCCCAGCACCTGCATAGGCGCCTTTAACAGTGCCAACCCTACGTCCATTCCGCGTCCCAGCCACCACCCACCATGGTCTGGAAGTTGAGTCCACCCTTGTCCTTGCGGCGGAACACAATGTTGGGCGGCTCCTTGTTCAGCCGGATGCCGAAGCCCTCCAGCTCGTGCTCCAGCATCTTCTTGTGCTGCAGCGGCTTCAGCACGTCCAGAACAATGAAGATGAGAGAGCAGGTGCGCGCCACAGCGATCACCTGACGACCGCGACCTTTGCCGTCCTTGGCGCCCTCGATGATGCCCGGCAGATCGAGCAGCTGCAACGGCGACGGGCGTCAGACGCGCAGCAGCAGCACGGCAACGCCTGCAGACGTGGGACTCCGACCAGGAACCACGTCACTGTTTCCAAAACAAAAAAGAAACAAAGGCATAGGACGTTACGCTCGAAGCAACAGTTCGAAATTTTACAAAATCCTATTACTAGCAGCGGCACCGACAAGAATCGAGACTTACCGGTGCCTACAGCACAGGTGACACGATTTAGCTGGAACGGACATTGGTGGCGACTATCAATGCATTCAACTGATACTGGCAAAGCCCCGGTACTGCCAGGCTGGGCATCGCTACATTACCGTTGGTGCCGATTTGCCTCCATCTATCAACGCACTGATGTAGAAATTTGATATGCATGGTTTGCACTAGAGCAAAAACCCATAGATAATCAACATTAGATACAGGGTATAACTTAATCGAATTTTCACAACACCCCGAAAATTACGGGTTTTCGCGATCATTTTGCAATCAAATCTTACAAAAGATGCAATCTTAGCACCCCTTTGACGACCCCTGATGTGCGCTCGATTTGTTGTACGATGTGTTAAAGAAAATCACCTGTATTTTGGCGCCCTTGTACTTGATGCAGCCGGGCACGGTGGTCAACGTGGTGAACTCGTAGGCGGCGACCTCCGAGTACACTCCGGCCAGGTTACTCAGCAGGGTCGACTTACCCACCGACGGAAAACCTGCACATCCGCAGACAGCGGAGCTCAGCGAAGCCCGCAGTCGCCCTCAGACATCGACGGGATCTACTCAGACACTGAGACTCCAACACGATTCGAAAACCATTCAGCAGACCTTAGCACAGCCATATGCCATGCCAAAGACCGGGGGACAAAATCGCAACATGCCGATCCGAGGTGCAAAGGATGCCGAAAAACGGACGTGAGGCATTTAGCCACGTCAAAAACAAAACGGTTGAATTAGACCCCGACGCCGTTCAATCGCGGTCATCTGGTCGTAGGAGCATGTATGCGACCCACGTCAAAGCAGACAGCGCCTGTGCTGTTGCCGGGTGACCCACCGACGAAGCCCACGCGGGCGTCGCCTGTTTTGCTGACGTCGAAGCCCTCGCCGGTGCCGCCGCCGCTGGACTTGGGCGTGATCAACTCCCGACGCAGCTTGGCCAGCTTGGCCTTCAGCAAGCCCAGGTGACCACTTGTGGCCTTGTTCTTCTGGGTTCTGGCCATCTGGGATGAGTGGGAATGTATGTGAGTACATGGATACATGCTCATCAGATTGGAACACACCAAATCCAGCTGAATGGAAACCCAAGTGTTAATGACAATGCAAATGTGAGATCTCACAACAATCCAGTAACATTTAGGCACATGCTATGTAACAAGCACTATCACTAAGAAATTTACATCAGCTGTGCTATTAGGTAATCTATTGAACTGCTGCAGTCATCTATTCTTAAACATGCCAGTGAAATCTGGCCTGTTAAAGCTTTCTGTGATGGAAATTAACCCCAGACATCTCAGTATTGACACACTGACAATGGACCTACCTCATTTTCAATGTCTGCTATTCTTTCAAGGATTGACATCTTTGCCACTTGTCTTGACTATAAAGTAAAATGTATTCACTGAAAGAAGGCCTTGATCAGTACATCATATTTCATGCAGGTGGACCAATTCAGCATGTTTTCTAAAATATCACCTAACTTATGTAATGCTGTTAGGGATCTACTATAAATTAGGGACACGCTTATAAGCCATTCCCCTAGCATGGAGGGGGAGGACAATATTATCAGGTATTTCCAAACCATAACAAGAGAAAGAGTAGCAGGTTTTGGACAGCATTCTCTAATATGGTGCAATAGCTAACTGTGCCAAAAACCTAATGCCCAGATATCATCAGCTCCCTTCATAACATAAATGAGCACACTCACTACTAGTTGTGCATCTCTAGCTCAATAAGGGCCCACAGACTACTGTTTTGGGACATAATGCTCAATATGGCATAACCAAGAGGAAGGCTAGACCAATGTAACCAGAAAACAGCCAGGGAGTAAGGGCTGAAAATAGCTAAAATTGGGTAGCATAAGCTGACACCCATTAAGTTAAGTACCTAGACAATATGTAAAGAGGTGAGCCACCAAGCATCATGTGACAAGATGGCAGCATTAAAATTTCAAAAATGTTGTAATTATTACTTGGTAAGGCACATAATATATTGATTACCATCCATGGGATGTGACATAGGCTCTACAGCCACAGACCACACCTGCCTGGTGAAAAACCTGAAAAACTGTATGAAAATAATATATAACTGGGTTTATTCTCACACAATTTTAAATCTAAGTGCTCAGAAATCAAAACCTCAGCATTTTCAAACTTAGGTATAAATGCTTTAAAGCAATTCACATTTTCATACAAGTGAGAAAGGTCATGAACTGATCTTTAGCATCATGAATTTCAAGGTTTGATCTTTATGCTAAAAGCTAGCCTCTAATATACCAGGCAAGTCTGCAAAAATATCACCCACTGCACTGGATATCTGCTATGTGGTATCCAGCCTTACCACATCACTTCTATGTGGCAAAACAGAGACACAGACTTGTGTGTGCCATGCTCAGACCAACATATCACAATTCCTTGAAACACTGCACAAACTACAGCAGTTGATGCACCCCCAACCCCTGCCCCCTACCCCAAATTCTTTGAAACACAGGCTCTCCATGCCCAGCAACTGGTGGCAGCCATGAGCAAAATTCTGAGCAGTCATAATTATGGTGTTTGTGCACTGATATTACTGCCACTATCACATCACCTGGTGGCTGTGCATGAGTGGCATGTACTATTGCACCATAGACCACATAGCATACATGCCTGAAGGCAGCACTCTTCCGATATTTGTTGATCCAGTGCTGTTCCTATCTCATTCAACTCTAATAAAACGAAAACAAAAGTATTATTCATGTTTTCTCACATCAGACACATATGGCGACACATCAGTAATAGATTTAGAACTCAGAAGCATTGCAATCCTGGACCTTACGATATAATTAATTTTCTTCGAGTCCTATTCTAACAGCAAGCGGGCCCGCGCCAAAACAAGTCCCACGCACCCAACAGGAGAAAGCCCAACGCGCAATATCTCACCCAGCACGTGCGAGGGCACCGATCTTATTCACTATAAGCGAAGGGTACCAGCTGTACACTGAGTGGCAAGCGATGCAACTTCCAATTTTACGCATTACGTGTGCATTCTGTGTTCTACACTTGACGTAATAAAACAGCCGGCCTGGGAAAAATATCCATATTGTGCTCTCAGAAACAGTGTCTATGACATAATCAATAAAATATTTCTGTATTGTTTTGGACAGAACGAATTTAGCGCAGTTGTTACAAATGTGACATATTAACGCCGGTATCGTTAGATAGCCTTGGCCGGTATGCGCTAGACGCGCGGTAGTTATTTTGGCCGTGTAGTGATTCCCCGACATACAATCTCACTATTGAGTTGCGTTAGTGCATACTGGTTGGTGAGAAAACAAGGTTAGGTCATTTGGCATGGTTTGTTTTGTGGCTTAAGTGGCCATGGGTGGCTGCATTCTAGCGGGCCTGTTCAGTTAAAGCGACGCTTGGCCTGTGACTCAAGCTTAGTAACTTAGTATGTCAGGAGGGGAGAGTATTGGGGATTGGATGGGCGTAAAGCATGTGTGCAGCAGTGAGTGATGCAGGTTACTCTGGGTTGCACTTTTCCCACCATGGTATCAGTTTGCACCATTGTATTGGTTAGCTTTGGCAAACAAAACAAGTGAAGCAAAATAATGACTAGTGCAGAACTGGGTGTGAAGCTCAGTCATTTATTGATTGTAGCACTTGTTTTTTAATTTAAGGCCATGATGGTGCCATGAGGCACCATGCGGAATATGGGGAAAATTTTGCTGGTGGGGCTAAATGCCAATCTTTTGCCAAACCATGTAAGTTTAGCCAAAATTCCACCAAAATCACCCAGTAGAGATTAAATGTAAACTTCTTGACTTAGTAAGTGGGGAGGGGGGGGGGCATGGCCCTGTGGTCCCCTTTTTCTTTGTATTCCTGGTTATCATCATATTTAAGACCAGGCTGCAACTTTTCAAGATAAAATAATTGCCAATTTTTCCCTATTGTAAATGTTGTCAACTATTTGCACTTTTATATGCATATACAGGGTGCAAGAGCTAGGGTGAAATGAGGGCTGAGTCCATCAACTGTCTGAAACTATGGTATTGGCCCTAGGGGCATTGGTGAAAAAATATATTGAACTCAGAGAATAGGTCACAGACAGATAATTGAATATAAGATGGTATTTAGGGTGGGGCAGTAAGGGCAGGGCAACTGGGTGCAACTGCCACACTACCTCTAGGAAAAGAGGGCATGCACATGAAGCCACAGTGAAGTATGCAAAAACTTGCTTAAAACCATGTTTGTCTCTGCTGTATAAAATGTCTTGATCACTTATTACATCAAGAACAAGGAGCTTGTTGCTTGTTGCAAAAGGCTTGATTAAGTTGCAGTGTATGATGGTTTCAACATCATTGCTGAAACAGCCCATGCCCTTTTCTTTAGTGTCAGGTGAGATCAAGACAGTTGCAAATTTGTGATTACATTTGGCATGTTACTACATTTGTATTTGTATGACATTTTGGGCTGATGATTCAGCAGCAGTACACAACATTAGTCCTCCGAGCCTTTGTCTGGTGTTGTCCTAAAGCAACCTGTATCTATCATTGCTCATTTGTAACTGTGAGGACATTTGCCCAGTGCACCAATGCACCAGCTGTTTGTCCAATGTGGGTGGTGTCAGTCCAAAAATATGTGTTGGAAAGGAGGCATTTTCTTGTGTTGGCTTTTCAGCCACATTATTTTTTTATGGCTTCAGAATGAGTAGCAAAAATGGTGTCAGGGGGAATTTTTACCTGAATGTAAAACTTGCATGGTGGCCACATAACTTGTCATCAGTATTTCCTATTTGATGGTGACAACATGTTCTTCCAGACCAGTGGCTGAACCATGTCAGACATGTCAGATGATGATGACGTGATCGTCATTCCGTCGGCGAGCACCAAAACTGTACACTATGGCTCACTGGAGGAGACAGAGCGGGCGCGGTTGGCCAAGGTGGCCGAGGCCGGCGGCGAAGGCTCGCCCAAGCCTGGCGGTCCTAACATCAACACGTCAACAGGTAACATCGCGCCCGGTGTAGCACTGGACGGGTTTTGAGTCTAGTTGGACATGGCATGGAGCAGGCGCTGAGTCTGGCGGGGCGTAGCGTCGGGGAGGTGCTGAGTGCCACCGGGTTTACCACCGGGCAGGTACTGAGTCTGCCTGGGCGTAGCGTCGGGAAGGTACTGAGTCCGGTCGAGTTTACCACCGGGCAAGTGCTGAGTTTAGGTTTCTGCAGGGTATATCATGCACCAAAGCAGATGATGCAGCAAAAGAGCAAGGAGATTGTAATCGCGGGTGTGTTGTAGCTGATTGAGGTCGACCACGTGTTAAACACGCAGTCAATTCTGCTTTGAACAACGTTAGGCGGCCAACGCCAACATGCACGCAATCCCCGTGCTCCCGGCTGGCGCACTGTGACACAGCATGCTGTGCAGACTACATGGAGCTGGAGGAGCGGGAGATGCACTCGGACAAGCAGGCGCTGCTGGACGAGTTCGAGCGGCGCAAGCGCGCGCGCCAGATCCACGTGTCCACCGACGACGGCGAGGTGAAGCGACGTCTGCGCGAGCGCGAGCAGCCCATCTGCCTGTTCGGCGAGGGACCGGCAGATCGGCGCAACCGCCTGCGGGACCTGCTCTCCAGGTGAGGTGCCGGGGTCGCAGCACACGGCTCACCGCTCGGCCGGCGTCCGGCCGGCTCCGGCACTGCAAGATACTGGGCTACATTGCTGGGTATACAAGTCTTCTGCTACATTCCAATGTCTTCAGGGGGTCATTTGGCTGCAGAAGCGTGTGTCGAAGCCGCGTTCCACGGCATCCCCACCTATTTGGATTGTTTCTTCTTTGAATATTTACCATGCGATATGTGCCATCCGTGTACATCTAATGCAGGCGCGTCCGTGCCGTGTGTTCTGTTGGCTGACACGGCCGGCCGGCGTGCGCGCGGCAGGGGTGAGGAGGAGGCGCCGTCGGACCAGAGGCCGGCCGAGGGGCCGTCAGCGCCCGCTCAGACGCCGCGCACTGACACCTGGTACCACGAGGGCCCACCGGAGCTGCGGGAGGCGCGCTACTGGATCGCAGGTGCGGCCGCCGCCGTCGCCGGCTCGGCTGCGCCACAGCGGCGTTTACTCTGGAGTGGAGCGCACCTCCGAGCGCTTCGCTGCTCTGCGGCGT